AACAAAAAAAACGAGCCCCCCCCCCAAAAACCCCCAACAGCAGCAAAACAAACAAACCCCAAACAAAAGCAAAAAAAACAACAGGTGTACAGTATTGCATGCTGTTTAGAGATAGTTCATGTATGCTGACTACAGATGCTGTTAGCGTTCGTAAAGAATTGGATTGAAATGTAAAACCAAATTTTATTTGGGGTATAGAATGCCTTCACATCATAAAGATTTATCAATTTCCCATAAAATGGATAAAACAACTGTTACATTGTTGATCATTAGGAATTTAAAGGTTGACCATATCCATGACATCTGGCTAAGTTTGTAGAGAAATGTATTCTCATAGAACTTCAGCTTTTACATAGTGCCTAGATTATAAATTATGCTACAAGCAAAGCAAATGTATCAGTATTGCTCTTTAACTTAATTACATGATTGGAATAAAGAGAATGAATCAGAGTCTTTTATCTCATATAAAATAAGCTTATCCAGAGTTATCCACTTTGGGATTAACCATGTATATGTAGTGGACCTAAACTTCGGTTGTTATCTGCAAGTGATCAGTATTAATAGAACCCTACTCAGTGTTGCAAGTGATCAGTATTAATAGAACCCTACTCAATGTGAATCCACATGGTGACAAGAATGCTCAGATATGGACGACTTCCAATTTCATACTTCACACTAACATTCTGGTGATGTGAGCTGTGGCCACAACACCAGCTGCTTCAGCCTATTCCAGCAGCAGCAGCAGACGCCAGCGTTTTGCTGTTTGATGTTGTAATGAGATTCAGTTTTTCTCCACATCTGACAGGATATATATTATCTCGTATAGCCCCACTATTTTCCCCCTTGTACCAGATGTGAAAATAGTGATGTGTTCTTTATGGAATGTTACTGGTGAATCGAAGAAATGACCTGTTACTGTTATGAGGCTTTAAGTAATTTCTTGACAAGTCTAGGTCATTGCTTCAAGTCGTGCTGCAAAGAGGGGAGAAGGACACCTCTCAGTAATGATGATAGTGCAGAGTACGGGGCAATCCACACTGTGAGTGTGTGCTAGTCAGCATGTAGAGCTACTGAAGCCACAAGTGTAGACACATTGTCTGTGCCACAACTGTAGACACATTGTCTGTGCTTGCTCTTACCGGATGCTTTTCTTACATATGTTACCTGTCTATTGTTTACTTGCATTTTCTATGTAATGTTATACAGAGTGTTCGTGTGAGGCAAGGCTTACCCTTGACTGGGTTTTGGGTGTTTATTCTGTACTGGTACATTAGTTTGTAATTTGATATTTCAGGTCACGAGAATTTGAGAAAGCATGTATGTGGTTTACCTGTTGTAATTATGAGTTGAATTATTCAACCACAATGTGGTGTGACGAGTTTATTTACCACTACTAAAACAACTATAAAATAATGTCAGTAGATTCAATGTTCAAAGCTGCCAGTGGACTAAAGGCTTTAGATGTAAACAGTGTCAGTTCCGTGGATGAAAGTGTTGTAGTGAGTATCTCTCTTTGGAAATGTGCTGTTTAAATGCTGATACTCCTAATGTTAAAATCAAACAGCCTTTTCTGTGAGTAATGTGGTGGTCAGTCGCGCTCCTTTGCATATTATGTCTGTATTTTTGTTTGTTGCTTTGTTTTTCTCAGCTCTGAATAATAATCTATTCTAGTGTCTGCAAGGGTAATAATAATATAGATTGTAAGATGCTTAGAGCTTGTTGTTGAGCAGGGATATGCGCTAAACAATCCTTATTTTTGCTTTTTAAAAACGTATTACCCTTTGAAATCAAACAAATGAACACTCACCATTTGTTTGCTTATTTGTGATGCAGAAACCTGTAGACGCCAGTGGCCTGATTGGCAGAGGGTCTTCTGATGCAGATCAGCGCAAGGGCCGGACGGGGGAGCAGGAGGAAGCAGCGGGCAGTGAAGATAAGCTGACCCCCAAGGAGGAGGAAAAACAGACCTATTGGTCGCTGTTGAATCTACGCACAGAGATTAGAAATGCAGTGGCAAACATACGATCACAAACTTCTGGAGTAGGTATGTCTTTTTTCAAACTTTTGTGGACTGACTTTTTCTCAAGACAAGTTAGTGTATGCTTTATTTCAAATGGTCACTAAAAATAATGTGAATAGCAGAGGTTCAGAGTATAAAAGGAATCGTTTCATTTTTCAGCAAACTTTGTACCCGTCTGAGGAGTCAGTGTTATAGCTTATTTTAGGGAAAAAGAAATCGTCTTGCTGCAAAGTTTTTCCGGGTTTTTGGGGGGGTTTCTTTGTTGATTATCTTTTGTTCTGGAAGGCTGGGACATGGGTGCCATGGATCTTTCACTATTTCCATTTAGCATGGCCAGTCATAAAATTGTAAAAATTTCTCTCCCCAGGAGCCCACAAGCCTCAGTCAAACCGTGCCAGTGATGACTGGAGCATTGTGGATGAGGTTACCCCTCCCACATCGTTACTTTTGAACACACCACCCAAGCCCTCAGGCTCTTCCGGGACACAGTGGCATGTGAATTTTGAAGATACTGATGCTAGCGGTGCCAGTGCTGCTGCTGATTCTGGAGAGAATAAACAAGAACAATCAAAACGGCCTAGTTTTAATGGCAACCAATCAAACCCAGTAGACTTCTCCTCAAAAACTGACATTTCAGAGGCACAAGTGTCTGGCTCACAATCAAAGAACAATAACTCTTCTCGGAGCAATTCTATCTCCGGGGCAAATGCAGTTTCGCCCACTTCTCCAAACTCTGGGAACAACGGAAAATCAAAATTCATGTCGGCTCTGCGAAGCAACTTTAAAAAACTGAATGCGACTATCAAACCCACAGGAGCACAGAGCCCCAATGCAGTCAGTGATTCTCCGTCACAAACCTGCATTAGATGTAAACTGGTAAGTGGCAGATACAGTATTATGACTGCCCTTGATTAAGATACTGATTGACATATGAAATACTAGTGCCCTTGATTAAGATACTGATTGACATATGAAACGCTAGAGTGTGAACTGAAGTCCAGATAATGGCACATAAAAATTTTTAAAGTTTTTTAAAATCTGACTTGAAAGTGACTAATAAAATGTTCTCATGCATTCTTAAATCTTGGAAGTGACAGATATGATGTTTTCATTTCTTTGAAAACTGATTTATGGATATCTCATGTTATATTTTATTAGTAATTCCAGATTTGTTTGCGAATAATGAGAGAATCAAAATACATGAATGACTTAAAAAATCAAAACCCACGATTCCCAAGATGTACAGTATATTTCAGAAAGAATGTTTTCACATATGGGAAAGTCTGATAAATGCAGACTGTATGTCGAGAAGAATCTTTTGTGCTTAAAGCTTTGTTAATCAAAATCACTTTGTCACTGAGATAAACTCACTTTAATAAGGTTAGATATGATGAGAACTGAGATAAACTCACTTTAATAAGCTTAGATGTGATGAGAACTGAGATAAACTCACTTTAATAAGCTTAGATGTGATGAGAACTGAGATAAACTCACTTTAATAAGCTTAGATGTGATGAGAACTGAGATAAACTCTCTTTAATAAGCTTAGATGTGATGAGAACTGAGATAAACTCTCTTTAATAAGCTTAGATGTGATGAGAACTGAGATAAACTCTCTTTAATAAGCTTAGATGTGATGAGAACTGAGATAAACTCTCTTTAATAAGCTTAGATGTGATGAGAACTGAGATAAACTCACTTTAATAAGCTTAGATGTGATGAGAACTGAGATAAACTCACTTTAATAAGCTTAGATGTGATGAGGACTGAGATAAACTCACTTTAATAAGCTTAGATGTGATGAGGACTGAGATAAACTCACTTTAATAAGCTTAGATGTGATGAGAACTGAGATAAACTCACTTTAATAAGCTTAGATGGGATGAGGACTGAGATAGACTCACTTTAATAAGCTTAGATGTGATGAGGACTGAGATAAACTCACTTTAATAAGCTTAGATGTGATGAGAACTGAGATAAACTCACTTTAATATAAGCTTAGATGTGATGAGGACTGAGATAAACTCACTTTAATATAAGCTTAGATGTGATGAGGACTGAGATAAACTCACTTTAATAAGCTTAGATGTGATGAGGACTGAGATAAACTCACTTTAATAAGCTTAGATGTGATGAGAACTGAGATAAACTCTCTTTAATAAGCTTAGATGTGATGAGAACTGAGATAAACTCACTTTAATAAGCTTAGATGCGATAAGGACTGAGATAAACTCACTTTAATAAGCTTAGATGTGATGAGGACTGAGATAAACTCACTCACTTTAATAAGCTTAGATGTGATGAGGACTGAGATAAACTCTCTTTAATAAGCTTAGATGTGATGAGAACTGAGATAAACTCACTTTAATAAGCTTAGATGTGATGAGGACTGAGATAAACTCACTTTAATAAGCTTAGATGTGATGAGAACTGAGATAAACTCACTTTAATAAGCTTAGATGTGATGAAAACGGAGATAAACTCACTTTAATAAGCTTAGATGTGATGAGAACTGAGATAAACTCTCTTTAATAAGCTTAGATGTGATGAGAACTGAGATAAACTCACTTTAATAAGCTTAGATGTGATGAGAACTGTATGTATGTGAGAATCATTTGGACTGGACTAGTCTCCTTTGAGTAAGGAAGGGCGTATTGCTGGAGAAACAGACTTTTTCAGAAAACGGTTTCTGAGTTCATTTCCAAATGTTTTCTTGTGATTTGCTATTGGTGTGACCACATGTGAACAGTTTTGGCTCATCTGTTATGTTTGTGCTCTGAAGTTATTGCATTTGTTTAGTCCCAGTATTGAAAAAACATTATTAGTTGTTTGACTCCAGCCATATTTCTGTACCGATTTTCTGAACTTAAATCACATGTGTCCCTCTTTCCTGACAAATGTGTTTGTGTGTGCCATTTTTATTTCTTTGTATATCGCTATCAGAGTTCTGTAGTGGTAGATTTTACCTTCTTCTCTTTTATCTGTGTCAGTGGCGTTTCCTTGACAACGATATTATTGTGTTTATCATTTTATCTTACCCAGTGCGGGTGGTTGGCGGGTGCTCTGGTGTAGTTTGCTTCTTCTTTCCTTTCAAACATCTATCGTCTTTATATCCCCTCTTTCTTTTTTGTGTTTGTTACTTTCTTTTAACACCTCTAATCTTCGGCACTTATATGACCTTATTGTGTTGCAAGTGCCGTAAAACTCTTACTAAAACTAAAAACTGTCTTACCCAGTATCTTTTTCGTATTGTCTTATGACATCTAACCACATCACACTTAAGTCTTTACATTGTCTCTGACCACTGCTCTCTCCGTAAGGCTTAACACTGAGAAAACGAAACTTGTGTCTGTGTCTGTCCATTCAAACTTTCTTTAAGGGAAGCCGTATATTGTGTAGTCTTTTCTAGGTTTGATAATTCCTCTCTTGTATGGTATGTTCTACCTTCTGTATAAAAATCGTATGATCCTTTGGAATTGTTTATCAAGATATTCAAAGAATTGCATCCAAATAAGCCTGACATGTTGTGAAGCTCAAAACTTTTGACTTAAAATTTCTCAAAACTGGGTACTGATCAAATAGCACTTTGTAATTCTAGGGTAGCGATCTGTGATAATCACACACTGTTTCAGCTGGGCGATGACCTGTTTAACGTGAAGGAGGACCTGAAGGCTGCGGAGGAAGAGCTCCAGGCCAACAGAGAGATCGTGAGACTTCTGCAGAAAGAGCTGGATGTCATGAGAGCAGAGATCAACACCAGGTATGTGGACGTCTTGTGATAAGAACGAAGCACATGGTTATGTAAAAGTAAAAGGATCAATTTTATGAGAAAAACAAAATCTCAGCATGTTTGGGAAATGCAACTGTGAAAAAATTTTTGTAGAGAGAATGGCAGTATTTTGGTTTATGTTCCCTTTTTGTAAGCTTGTTCTTGTTCTTGTTCTTGTTCTTGTTCTTGTTCTTGTTTCAGGAAGCAAAGTCAGTGTCTGTTTTTGCTTAAAGTTGATTAATTTCCCAAGTTGCCACAGTTTATAAATGACACTATTGTTAAGGTTGAAATCTATGGTTAAATGCTAAGTTTATTGTCAGATATAAAATCTGTTATCAAATTTAAAGTTTGCTGTCAACTGTAAAATGAATGGTTGTATGTTTTACTCAAGTTCACATATGAAACCAAGGTGTCAAGTATTTATCTTTTTTTTTTCAAAAGTGTATTTTTGTAATGCCATACGGCTCCAAAGAGAAGTTTTAGTACACTTTTCATGTTTCTAATGTACCACAATTACAATGATTGATTGTTTTAATTAAATCATGAGTTCAAATGTTTTGTGTTTCCAACAGTTTTTCTTCGGAATGTTTTTTTCTGGGTTATTCAACAGGAAGGAATGTGAAGGGAAAAGTGAGGAGAGTGTGATGGAGACATTGCGACAGAAAGACAAACACATCATTGAGCTGGAGCACAGTCGGGCCATGGTGCTGGAGGAAAAAAGTCTTATGGCACAGGACCTCAGGTTCGCTGATGAAATCAGAAAATTCGGAATGTTCTGTCTGTATGGTTAGTTGGAGGGAAAAGAGCGTCTGTGCTTTTGTTTAGTTTAGTTTTTATGGTTTTATGGCATTTGTAACACAAATAGGTCATGTAAGAGCTGAAGGTTAGAGGTTACGAGAAAGTCGTAACATTACCAAATAAAGAAGCAGGAGAGATAAGCAAACCCCACCAGAGCACCCACCAATCACCCACCATTTTGTTTACTTTTCAATGGCTTGTCTTTGAGCAGATTAACAGCTGATATGAAATTTTCTGTTACAGAATTGAAGTTTGAGCTTCGGGTTTTCTTGTTTTCAATGTTATTGATTTATGATCTTCCTATTTTTCTCTCCTGGGTTGCTTTCTGGGTGTTTCATTTTGTGTTTTGGCTTCAGAATTAAAAACTTTTATTCTCGCTCTGAACATGCATCATAAGTTATATTGCATCTCTTTTCCTTTGTTCATTTCCTTTGTCCTTTTGATTTGCCCTCATGTCTGAGATTAAGCAATGCATTTTGCTAACTTAATCATTTTGTAAAGTGCCTTCTTAATGCCATACTCAAATATAGTGAATGTCATTGCCTAAAGTGTCTTAACGTCATACTCAAATATACATGGACGTCACAGCACTGTATGGACATATTTAGGTGTAAAGTATCTGCTTAACGCCATAGTCATGTTCAAAAATCCACTGACGTCCAGCACTATTACTCAAAAGTTTTGGATGGGTTTATTTTGCGTTCTCAGATTGTTGCAGAGTGAGATGAAAGAAGTGAAGGATCAGATCTTCATGTTCCAGCAAACTGTCGCAGTGAAGGATGAAATGATTGTCAGTCTGACCAATCAGAATCAAGAGCTGAAGAACAACAACAGCCAAGGGCTGTCAGAGACAGGAGATGGTAATCAAGCCATTAATTTTCTCACTGACCCGGTGTCTCTGGCTGCAGAGAGAAATGAGATGGAAAGAATGAAGGTGAGTTTCGTTTACGTGTATTAACCCTTTTGTTGTTCATCCCTTGAGCTATGCTCTCCTGAGCACGCAGGACCCGTTCACTTGAGCTCTCTCAGGTTGACTGCTAGGTATACATGACAGTGAATTCAGTGCACAGAAGGGCACAAGTAAATGTAGTCATGCTCAGGCGTACACTTAATGATATATTTCTTGCAGGATTTCGTGGTCATCCGATTATATTGAACGCAACTATATTCACGGCGAATTATAATAATAATAAATTGCATTTATATAGCGCATTTCCACAAAGAAGTGCTCAATGCGCTGTACAATAATACAAAGAACATATGAAGCTCACAGCTCCTTTGTACTCCGCTCTCTCTCTCTCTCTCTCTCTCTCTCTCTCTCTCTCTCTCTCTCTCTCTCTCTCTCTCTCTCTCTCTCTCTCTCTCTCTCTCCCTCCCTCCCTCCCTCCCTCCCTCCCTCCCTCCCTCCCTCCCTCCTTCCCTCTCTCTCTCTCTCTCCAATACATCCTTGAGTAAAGACAGTCCCACAAAGCTTCCCCAGACACATTCGCACACATTAATTCTTACAGAACAGAACAGCATGAATAAACGATACTGAGAGAACATAATAGATACTGAGAGAATATGTCACCTGGCCATAGTATGCGCTCATTACGGCTGGCTCGCCAACTCGACTAGTCACACTGAACGTAGTATTTAAACAGCAAACAGAGACACTCTGCTGAAGTAAATACCAAAGGAAGTTGCTCTATATGATAGCTGAAGGGTTGATGAAACTCTGAATTTTTAAACTCTTTCAGTACGGGGAACTGAGTTTCCCAGCTGGTGTTTCTCCAGGCGCTGGACCACTTCCTGCTTGAAAAGCACACCTACTTTTGTCATAATCGAAACAAAAATCTCAGGCTGAAGAATGATCATTTTTAGCTACACGTTGAGATAGGTCATTATTTCCCCTTTATTTTCATATATAATACATGCACATGCGGCTAATATTGGAAATTGTACTCAAAACTTTTAATTTTTCTGAGGACAGGCAGAATCAAAAAGTAGGTCACAGATAGGGATCGTTCCAGGTGAGGAAAACCCCCTGGTAGTGAAAGAGTTAAGCATGTTTCTTGGCATGTCAATGGTTTTTTAAACAAGTTAAACAAATTCTACCATGGCTTCAGCGTTCTAAACTGGTGCTGTACCTAAAGGTTTTTCACTATGAGCTTTCAGCACTGTAAGTGTTAATACTTACTTACTTTTACTTTTACATCCTCTGTTGCTGTTAAGCATCGAGGGGAGATGCAGTTTTCTATGGTAGGCCAGCTCCGCAGCTCTTTCAGTTGCCTAGCAAGCCGACGGCGGATGATTACTGCTACGGAAAAATCAAAGGAGAAAACACGGACAGATTCAAATGGAAAACGACCTGGAAAAGTAAACAGACAGCGAGCTAGAACAACGATTAAAATAGGCACAAGTGTTAATAATAAGGTGTTAAACAACTACAGTGTATATTTGAAGGGCATCTCTGGTGTTTATACCTGACTGTCAATAAACTGAATTGTGATTACGGAGGACAATATCTCTGGGGTTTATGCCTGTCAATAAATTGAATTGTGATTACGGAGGACAATATCTCTGGTGCTTATGCCTAACTGTCAATAAATTGAATTGTGATTACGGAGGACAATATCTCTGGTGTTTATGCCTAACTGTCATTATAAACTGAATTGTGATTACGGAGGACAATATCTCTGGTGTTTATGCCTAATTGTCAATAAATTGAATTGTGATTACGGAGGACAATATCTCTGGCGTTTATGCCTAATTGTCAATAAACTGAATTGTGATTACCTAAGACAATATCTGTGGTGTTTATGCTAGAGCGTTTAGAGCCTCTGTATTTTAATCAGGGTTGAGCGCCATATCAATGTCATTTATAATTATTATGTTTCACTGTCAATAAATCCTATTGTATTTACTCAGGACACCTGCAATGCCTACGAGAAGCAGAATGTGTTCCTCACCACAGAGATCTCAGAGCTGATTGCCTTGAGACAGGATGATGAGACAAGGATGAAGTTATTAAAGATGTGAGTAGTTTTCTTAGTGTGTGTACTCCTGTTTGTCTTGTTCTTCGTCATCTATGTGTCTGTCTAAAAGTCTGCGTGTATATGTGTCGGTGTGTGCACCTGTATGTGTAAATGTGTGTTTATGCATGTGTGTGCGCGCATGTATGTGTTTGTGTGCGTGCATATGTGTATGTGTGTGTGGTTTCACTTTTTTTGTATGAGTGCTGTGGTTGTTTAAATATGTGCTGTGTATCTCAATTTTATGTGGACTTGTGTGTATGTATACGAGTGTATGTATACGAGTGTATGTATACGAGTGTGTGTATACGAGTGTGTGTATACGAGTGTATGTATACGAGTGTATGGTGTATTTGTGTATCTTTTTGCGTTTTATTGTGTTTGGCCGTGTGTGTTTTGGTGTGCTTTGTTGAATTTACGTATTGATATTTTATATGTTTTGTCATATACGTATTTGTGCAATGATTACTTTGATTTGTTTTTGTGATCACGTGAGTGTGATTGGCAGTAGTAGGCGGGTAGGTTCTTCTACTTTTCATTTTCTCAGTTGTTTCTGTGTGTCTGTCTTACTTTTAATTTTAGTAGAGTTTTTACGGCGCTCGCAACTGCATAAGGTCATGTGAGCGCCAAGGGGTGGATGTCAACAGAGAAGTCTTTACAGGGAATCAGACTTACTCTGCTCACCTCTCTAGCCTCAACAGCACAAAGTCTGCTTCGATTATCAAGGCACCCCGGAAATAATGGGTCACAAGAGTGTGACAAACATACAAAAGAAGTAGAGGGAAAATGACAATAGTAAGGATTAGGAAAGAAAAAGCAGCAGTTCCCTGTTGTAGATCAGGCACAGTTATGAGCGTGACATGATGAATCAGCCCATTTACAATTCTACTGTGCATGAATGAGAAATGTCCCCCCCTTTGGGAATGGCTTAAGGACGCTTCAGTCAGTAGCACCGCCCCGGGGGGTATGTCTTCCTTTATCTCCATACTTAATGACTGTTATTGAGTTGACATGTTTGTTTTTCTCAAGCAAGTTGAATGTAGACACAATTGTTTGTACTGTGTTTCTCTGATTTTTAAATAGTACATATATTTTTATATTTGTGTGTTTATGTCTATAGTATCGTTATTATTTGACAGTATGTGTATTGTTGTTTTGACAAAGATATTCAGTGGGTGGTTGGCAGGTGCTCTGGTGTGGTTTGCTCCTTCTTTCCTCTTAAGCATCTGTGGTCCTTATCTCTCCTCCTTCTTTTTTACGTTTGTTGTTACTCTCTTGTTACACCTCTAATCTTCGGCACTTATATGACCTTATTGTGTTGCAAGTGCCGTAAAATTCTTTACTAAACTAAAGATATTCATAAAATGTTTATTCTGGTATGGTATCATTGTCTATATATGTTTAAAAAAAATTCTATGCTATGATTATGTTGTTGTGTTCGTATGGCAGGAATGTGGCACAGTTGGAGGCTCAGTATTACCAGACCAGGAGCAAATACTTGTATCTTTTGAATGACAAGCAGATTCCAGTCAGAGGTGAGTCCACCCTTTTCATCGCTTTTGTTTTTTGAGTTCTTGTGTGAGCAAAAAGTATGATTTTGTCATTGATTATTACTACTATTTCAAACTGCTTTGTTGGATCAAAGTCGTTATTGATTTCTTTTAGCGGGTGCTCTGGTGTGGTCTGCTCCTTTTTTCCTTATCAAACATCTATCATCCTTATATTTCCTCCTTTTTAGCGTTTGTTACTCTCTTGTAACACCGTCAGTATTTGGCACTTATATGACCTAATTGTGTTGCAAGTGCAGTAAAATTCTTACTAAAACAACTTATCGTCATATTCAAGTCACCAGTGGCTGGTCGGCACTACTTCGTTGTTTTCTCATGGTAGTTTATATTTCTGTTTCTTGCTTTTGCTTTCTGAAAATGGGGTGCATTTGTGATTCTCTGAAGTCAAAATTGTTGAGTCAGTATACCAGCCTGTGCAATAGACGTAGAATTGTGTTATAAGATATATCAGCAAGGTAACGGACAGAATTGTGTTATAGATCAGCAAGGTAACGGACAGAATTGTGTTATAAGATATATCAGCAAGGTAAAGGACAGACTTGTGTTATAAGATATATCAGCGAGGTAAAGGACAGACTTGTGTTATAAGATATATCAGCGAGGTAAAGGACAGACTTGTGTTATAAGATATATCAGCAAGGTAAAGGACAGACTTGTGTTATAAGATATATCAGCAAGGTAAAGGACAGACTTGTGTTATAAGATATATCAGCGAGGTAAAGGACAGACTTGTGTTATAAGATATATCAGCGAGGTAAAGGACAGACTTGTGTTATAAGATATATCAGCAAGGTAAAGGACAGAATTGTGTTATGAATGCACAGTGCTCAAAGCAGCTAACCCATGATTTGTTCTTGTCTCTCATAAATGCTGGAAAGAGAAATGACATAGAACTGTTGTGGCTTGTAAAGTCAAGTTTTTGGAAATAGTTTCTGTTGTGTTTCACACTAGCATATATGAAGGTTTTTGTTTTTTTGCTGACCTATTCATATATGTTTTTATGGCTACCATTTTATTCATATATGTTTTTATGGCTACCATTTTATTCATATATGTGTTTATGGCTACCATTTTAAACTTTTTTGTATGTGACTTGTGAAAGTTCTCTTTTCCTTTGAATGTCCTTGAACTTTTGAAGGATGTTGAACTTTTCTAGTTTTACTTGAGCCTTTTGGTTGAATCCTTTGCGTTAAATGTGTCAATATGTTTTTGTACAATCTCATGAGAAAAACGGCTAACTTAAAATCTTTTTGCTGATACAAGACATCCTCTCCTTTTCTGTACCTGCTGTGTATTCCCTACTTTGATTCGTGGTCTTTGTCTAGAATCGTACTTGATCACAAGATACCAGGGCATATCATTTATTCATAATAATAATAATAATAATGAAGATCATTTCTATAGCGCCCACTCCCGTGTAAACACAGCTCTAGGAGGACAATATCTCTGG